TCTATCTCTATGCAAGATCGACCTAACGATGTTAATGACCGAATTTCGGATATTCATCAAAACGATTTTGTGAACTATTCACTGGTGAAATATGAACTGAAGAAAAATTACATTAACCGAATTTCGTACAACATTTATTTACCGTACGTGTATTTAATAATGCATGTATTATTAACTACTTGCAGAATTTGGTACCTAGTTCAAAAAAAAAAAAAATTCCATTATATCTAGCTTTATCTAAAATAATATCTAAAAAAATAAGTATAAACTCTTCGAATTCATTATACGTTCTAACCCTTCTCCTACCCTTCATCGACAACCTAAGCTCAAATAAGTTTTTCTTATCTTTAATTTTAACAGTAAAAAAAAAAAAAAATCAAAGAGTTCATAAATGTCAAATATAATAATTACGCATTTCATAAAGTTAAAAATAATAAGATATGCGGGTTATCGAAATAAAATAAGTTCGAATTCATTTTTAAAAAAATGCTAACTTGCAATTTTTCAAGACGTTTTTGAAGATTAATAGGTCTATGATTATATCGTTAAGGTGAATGTAAACTGTATGCTACTCTAGCATTTGCGCGTTTTTCTTTATTAGTGAAATGCTATTTAATCATTTTTTTTCACGCCTTTTACTTTTTTAGACATCGTGTGTGGCCGTCAAATGATTTTTATTCAGTACTTAATCCGGCATAAAATTATTTTAATGACATGTTGGACATTCAAAAGGAAAAGTAGAATGGCTGTCTCGGGATTTTAAATATTGTGATTGGAATGTCGCGTGTGCTTTTCTGTGAGGATCTTTGATTTAGAAGTGACAGATGATGACAGTCAATCGACTCAAATAAATAAAATGAATATAAAAATGGTTGCACGCCATTTTGATTCGAAATTCATTATACGAGGGCAACACTGTGTCTCTGAGAGCATTACGAAAAGAAAAAAAATTTGATCTATTGCTTAGTATTGATATGCTATCATGCGAGCGCTATAACGTTGGAGAAACCATTCATGGCAAACTCTTTTTCCCCGACATAAGTAATTTAAAAGTTAAAATATGGAAAAAGTGGATTCAGGAAAACCTAAAGTAAATCGTGAAGTCTTAAATATTGAATAAATTTTCTCAAAATATCAAAAGGATAACTTCGTAATCCTGTTATACAGTCTGACCTCTACTTAACGAAGTTGCTAAATCCCGATAATAAGTTCATTGTATGGAAAATTCGTTAAACAGAAAATCATCTTTTGAAATACTTAAACAACACAAAACAGGATTAACACGAAAGCTCGTGGGTTCGAACCCCGCCGGCCGAAGACTCCCCGTGTAGTTGGTGACTGATGCACGTTAAAATTCTGTCCTTAGTCGCAAAGTCTTCCATGTTCCCGTAACAAATCAATCCCTCTGGGGGTACTGGATTGGAGATCTATCGTTCTCTGATTCAGATCAAAATTACGATCTGTGGATGAATGAATGGATGTATGAGTGGGCCCGCCTCATAAACAGGTGTGACGTATGATGTGGCAGAAGTCGAATTCTTGGCCATAGATGGCGCCACTGAAAAACAAGAATCGCACACTCTGCCTTAAATTTGCTCGGTTTCACCAAGCAGGCTTGCTCGTGTGGCAAGTGGCATTAGAACCAACCAAGTTTAACACAAAATATTTACTCTATAAATCTTAACCATGAGAGAAATCTGCATGAAAAACAAGAATAGAGCAAAACATTATTCAGTGTTACACTATCTTGCTAGATATATTTTCAACTAAAAAAAGCTAAATTTACGTATAAAATTATAGCTACGTTTATTATAAAAGTAATTTTAAACATACATTAGCACATGAGTTCTTAAGTTTAATTGCTTCTGATAAGATCCGTTAATTTTGTCTGAGTCTTTCGTTGGCAATGCAAACAAAAAGGGAATGGGATGTTACTGCTTTCTCTAAAAGTGGCTTCAAAAATCAATTCGAGGTCGTATCCCCCATTAGATATGTTAACAAGTTTGAAATGGTCTGAAATATTTTGGGAAATAGGAGAAGTAGATCTCAAAGAAAAGTTCGTTAAATGGAAAATTCACTTCGCTATTTGGAAGTTATTTTACGAAGAAATTTCCAAAATGTTCTTGGCTCCTCGAAAAAAATTGCACAATAGAAAAATTCGCAAAATGGAAGTTCATTAAATGGAAGTTCGACTGTAATTTGTTTGCCTCTTGATGTTATGAAGGGAAAAAATATTCAGAATTTACTCTAAGTTACCTAAACTTGCTTATCTCTAAACTTCAAAATACCAATGGAAGAAAAACACGATTCGCTATGAGAAGTGTCTCCCACGGTATAGCGTCCTCTAAAAGGGACAGGGGCCAGCTTAAAATATGCTAATTAAATCGCAGAAGTAAAACCAAAAACGAAATTTCTTGAATTAAAATTCTTTTTTCTTCCGACTGAGTTGAATTCTTGACTTGCTAAAGCGTTAATGGAGCTTGTAGCGTTATTGATTTGCGTTATCGTTAGCGCTTGTAAGAACTCAGTGTTACCTTAGAGATTTTGCAAACATTTTTAAAAACTCTCCAATTTTATTAGCATATTCCCCTGTATTTCTAGAAGCATTTCATTCAGAAAAATATTTTTGCACAAAATATAAAACTCGCTTATGTGAGAATAATTTCAGAAACAAAATAATTTTAATAGTAACGTAATAAATGTAACGAAAAATTCCAAAATCTGAAAAAAAATTGGCTGAATGGTTAATGGGTCATACATTAAATTTTCATTTTTCAAGCTCCATAAAACCAAATCTATTCATTTATAATTACATAGTTTGAAATGATACAGAAATTTGTATCATATTTCTCAGACTGCGGCTATATATTGAAGGTTAAAAATCCAAATCACTCGATAAAGAGGTATGTTTATTCAAAGTTATATATTATGTTCTTTGAGTCTGATTTCGTTAGTTAAAATATCGTCGGGTCTAATTAATTGGCATATTTAAGGTGAGTATTTCAAATCATTAAGATTGAGTCCTCGTACGTAAAAATCCCATGACCAAAAATAATTCTAGATGTTTACATTTTTATTTTGCGCATTATTCATGCAATCAAATTGGAAAACACGAGCAAATAAAATGATAGCCGGGAAAAAACTTCGTGAGAAGATCAAGGCCCACCCTGGGCTGTCGAGCCATTGATGATGATTCATGCAATCATACATTTTTATTGCGCACTATTCATGAGCATTTATGTACGTACATACATAAAACTTATGCATACGTTAACATGCGTGTGTACAGTTTGTAAAAAATGTAAAATAAATGAAGCACCCTGAATAACTTTTGACCTAATGATCGGATTTTCACGAAATAGGACTCAATCTTATGGCTCGAGGGGAGTGACCTCAAATAAGCTTAATAATTAATGCAGACGGTGTTTTAAGTTGAAATATAAGATACAAAAACGCACTTAAAACGCATTAAACATGTATTTTTTTCCGGCGGATTATGATTTCTTATTTCCAAAATATCGGAATAACCACAAACTCGGAAATATGTTCCCGACCCCGATAGTTTGGTTGAAGGCTTCAGACTCTTTAATGCATGTTCCCTGTTTTAAATATTTCTCCATATATCAAGAACTTTTAAAATGAATCGAAAAATTACATAATTCGTTTATCCAATTCCACGCAAGCAATATTTAATAATAATTTATAATTTTTTAAATTTTCAATTATTATAATGGATGAAAACTTTTTGAATTGTAAAGCATACAAATTTTTAAATCATTTCAAATGGCAAAATGCAATATTTGAACAAAATCGGTAGAATAATTCTTGAAAAAACGAATTTTAAATAAACCACTTTTTATTACGAATAAATGGTTTGTTTATTTAATGAAAGTACATTTCAGTGTCTGATTTCGTAACTTAAAATACATTCAGAACTTGTTAATAAGAATAGTATTTCTAACCATTGAGTTCCAATCCTAGTACGTGAAAATCCGATTAGATCAGAAATCAGATTCCTCTCAACGACAAAAGGTTGCTTCAGGATTTTTTTTCTTACTTTTAAAATTAGTTTTTTAATTTTATAAAATTCATTTGCTAATACTATAAAATAATTAAATATTCAAAAATTCTCTTTATTGTACTTGGAAAAAAAAAGAATAGAAAATTTAACATTTAGAAAGCTATTTCGAAGTTACTCCATTTTATTGTTTAAAAATTAGTACACCCAGGGGGGGGGGACTGAGGGTGCTTTAGCCCTTAACATTTTATACAAATGAGGAAATGCAGTGCCTTCTAAGATTATAACTCTTCTGTCATTATTTGCGGAACGTCGATTGTCACTGAGTATACCTTTCTTTTTATGCATAAAAAAATATTCATCACATCTAAACGTTTTTATGTTCAAATTATTCAGGAGTATTAAATTTTAAAAGCTTATTTAAAATTACAAGCTTGAATACAGAAGAAATAGCGCTTATACGCAATAGGGGGGCACAAATTAATGATTAAGCGAGGAAAAAACTAAAACGCTATCGAAATCTAACGAATTACTGCTGAGTGAGGCGAGACTGAAATCCTCTAACATAGCTGGGAGAATGTGTAAGAGGAATTGAAAGAAGATTATTCGAAGCACCTCTGAATATTATGACGATTATTAGAACTCTGAGTTTCGATGTTTCTGATGTTTTCACCCCTCCGTCCTCAGTAGTGATTTGATAGATTTCTATAGTCTTATTACTTTGTTCTCGTTTGAACATCAATGTGTGCCCCTTAAAGTGCGTATTTATTTTACTTCATCTTCATCAAGGACTCGAAAACTATATTTCAAGGCCTATGAGAATGATACTGTCTAAACTGTTAAAACTACTTCCAACTCCCCCTCCCCAATTATTATCTTATTTAAGTGCTTAGAAATGGACATATTTTGGCATATGCAGTAAATTAAGAAAAGTGAATTCGCAAAATTTAAATCATTAGAAAACAAATGAACAAACACAAGATTTTATAAAACAGTCTTTTATTATGCTACAAATATAATTCGGATTGTTTTGATTCCAATGGACAGATCGTAACGTAAAACTCAATCAACAATTGCGCAAAAATGTATTGCAAGAGTTTCAAAATAATAAAATTGTGGTAGCCCAATTGCTTTTATATATCCTAAATGCAACAGCTGAATTTGCAGAAGAAAAAATTCAATAGCTAAGATATTTCAAATTTCCCACGCTGTACCTTAACGACACAAATCAATGACGAATTTATACAAATTCGTCATTGATTATATCTTGGCTCCACTAAGTTACTAAGCCTTAAATTCTAGGAGTCAGAATTGAACGTACAAAAGAGTCAGTGGCGTCATGTGAGTTAAATTTAAATTTATTGATTAAGAAACAACAATATCACTAGACATATAACACTTCTTTAAATCTTAGTATCCATTCTTTTTTTTTATAACCCGTATTTTTTTTAATGGCATGAAGTCCATTCTCACTACTTAGAGGTTTTTTTATTTTTATTTTAGACAGAATTAAAGAAATTAATATCAGTCTCAATAAATTTGAAACATCACAATGCTGTATAAAATATTTGCTGTTTTTTATTAAAAATCTATTTCTTAGAGCCTTGTGCTCTATTCATTCCTAAAAGCTATCATTTTCTAATTTTCACCGAACCTATATCCTTTCATTTTTCAACAGCTATGATTCTTCATTATTGAAAATTGTTGACATCGGATATTAGATCCGGGTACTTATAAGCTCATAATGCAGAATCGTATTACTGAAAAATTATTTAATTAATCAGGATTTAATGTTTAAAACGTGATGTTCTAACAAAAATATTGTCCAGCCACTGATGGAAGATGTCATGATTTGACTTTGAATCTTCTTTTTATCGGTTGACTTGACAGTATATCATATTTAACTTAACATAGTCACGCTGTCGTTGATATTGGTTTATTTCTTAAATTGGAGTTTACAATGAATCAAAATAATTTTCAGCTTGAAGGTTAGGAGCAAGCTTTATGATAAGTTTAATACACGTTTTTAAACACAATTGAAACATACTAATAAAATATATAACATCTTCTCTAAGCTTAAAGTATTTCAACATCTAAATCTCACGCTATAACTGATAGTTCGAACTGAATCCTAATTAAACACATATTTAGTTTTTTTAATCTCGTCTGCGAAATAAAATTTTTCGAGCGCATTATAAATATTAAACATCTATTTAATTTGCTCTAAAGAACGTAAAATAAGTTACAAAATGACTATAAAAAATGTGTATTATATACATTTTTTCATTAGTTTTATGGCACACTGTAAATTAGAAGAAAAAAAAGGAACGGTACAAGTAATATTAAAAATATAATAATTGTCATATTTCGAACTTTACCTAAAAACGTTGTGTATTCTAAATAACTAGAATTCTATACAATGACTAGGTATTGTATAGAATTTCGGCCATTCATACACTGACTTTTTTAGTCAATGTATTGTGGGGATTTCTTTAATTGCTCGGTAAAGTAAGACTTGATTAATAACTTACTAAGCATTCTTTAAAAAGACAGATGAAAAAATTACCGGAAATTTAGAAAAAGTCTAAACAGTCCCTAAAGAAAATTTGTCATTTAATAAAATGTCTAGATATTTTATGTAATGATTAGACAAAGTAATAAACAATTTTTATATTTCATACTTTTCTTTTAAAAATAGGCCGAGCATTCTATACAATTCCTAGGCTTTCTTTATTATGACTAAGCATTCTATGGAATGACTCGGCATTTCATAGAATGACTAGGCATTACATAGACTGACTAGGCTTTCTATAGAATGCCGACAATTCATACAGTGATTTTTTTAATGTAAAAAGTCAAAGAAAAGTATAATGATATGTGAAAAAAATAGGCCATCGTTTAAGAATAGCTTAATGCTACATAACACTTTCATATTAAAAAGAGAAATCAGAAACCGGTTTGTACTGCGGATAAGCAATTTCCAACGTCGAAAAATATAAACACAAGCACTTAATGCTTCTATAAAAATACAATATAAAAAATATAATGTTTTGTGCAATATAAATGTTTCGCAACATTTTACAAGTCACAGTTGCTTCGCAATACAATAAATAACAATAAAAAAGTTTCAAAAAATAAAAAACGGACTTATATATACAACTTAGATAAATATACATATAAATGGCTACCATGGTCTCCAGACTGATTCAGATGCATTTTCCTGATATACATTGGGCATTATGATTGGTCTATTCAATGCATGATCATTATAAACTTGATTATCTACGTTTTTATTTGAGTAGTTAATTTGCAAAGAGTTTCTCACATCGTTTTGCTGTCCACGATCTACATTGCTTTTTGAGTTATGGTAGGACAGATTTAGAGGACCATATCCATGAGATGATTCCTCTCTTTCGCAATTAGACGGCAAGTTGTTGGCACAAATTCTGGATGAATGTGTTCTATTGGCTGAGGTGTCTGGACTGGCGTATATCCACTTAGAGTTTTCATATTGCGAATGGCTCACTGGTGAGTGAGTCCGATTTGTTAAGGCTGTTGAAGAGTCTGGCTGAGTTTCTGGACAAGGACTGCAAGAATGGTAATCCATGGGAGAACAATCATTAAAAGTTGATGATGGTGTTTCACTTCTGCTGTTGCTGGAGCAGGAAGAATCGTCCATTCCTGTTTCGAGATCTGTCATGGAAATATGGTTGGCTCCAGAAAGCAGAATTTTGTTGGCGAAACAATTTAAATAATGGAGAACACGACTTTTGGAATCATCGTCGATGTTGCTTTCTATGAAATGGCGTACTTCCTTCATGCAGTAAGAGAATCCAGCCATATATTTTTCATCGTCTGGCACTACAAGAAGAATAAAGAAATATAATTATGAATACAAACTTCAAAACAAACTTGTATTTAAAGTTTGGAAACAAGTGGTTTCTCTTATGCTTCGTTGCAAATTGTTTCGTAACTTTAAAGTCTCAGAACCAATATTATAAAGAGAACCAACTCTTTTTAAATTAATAATTTTAACGAGACAAAATAAAGTGAATTTTGAAAATCCAGCCTAAAAATTATAGCAACTATCGTTATTTAAAAGCACATTTTCTCATTAATCCAGTCTTAATTAATAGCGTGACAGGAAAAAAATTATGCACAAAGCTGACCGTAACATATTAATCCCAAAGTTTATATAGAAGCATTTTAGCACTTTTATAGAATGCCACTTTGTTTCTTTATTTTTTACGAAGTTGGTTTCTTCGAAGAGAAGACGATAGTTATTTCGCCACTTTGACAAAATGTTCGCTCCAAGGAAAACAAAGAAATTGCAAAGTGCACATTAAAAATGGATGCTCAATATTCACGAAGCTTTCTTCATTTTTTGACGAAACAGTTTCCTAGTATATGCTCCGAGCAAACATTTCATCAAAGTGACGCAATAACAATTGCATCTTCTTCGAGGAAAAGAATTTCGCTAAAATTAATAAAATATTTCATATTTCGTCATTCTAGTTTCGTCAAATTAAGAATTACTTTAGTAGATTTAAGTTGGTGAGAGAGTTTCCGAGTTAAAGAAACGTTTTCGTCACATATTTGAGAGTTCGAGACGCGTTACAAATCACGTGCTTTCGAGACAAAATAATTTTCAAAATTAGCGAAATACAGCTCAAGAATTGCTGAATCTTCAAAAGTGTGATTTTAATTTCTGAGAGTGTGAAAGCATCTTTATTGATTTTCAGTTTCTTAAGCCAGCTTTTATGATGTATAATGAGTTTAAAAGCATAAAAATATAAAATATGAAATGAAAGAGAGTCGTAAAATTGAATTTAATGGCCTTCAATAATTACCTTTCATTAGACCGTGATGGATTTTCTTTAAATGAGTAACAGTCATTTCTAAGATATCAGCTTTTTCCAATTTTGGTGGTTTTCCATTCTGAAAAACGAAATAATAAAAAGTTAATTTTTGTTCAATAATCCTATTCAACATTCCATAGCTTTAAAAATGACGTCGCTTAGAATTTATATCCCAATATTATATTATTAATACTTGATGGTTAAATAACTATCTTATTTCTAAATTGTAAGTTTTTTTGTATAGTTGCCAACATTTTTGATGTTCAGGTAAACTAAAATGTTTACAGTGTAGTCACATTTCTTTCTTCCATAGTTATAGTTTCACTTATTTATTTTGTTCCTTTTTTGTTTAGTTGCTTGCTGACAATACATATGTTCATATCTTTTTCTGTTACATACTCTGTAAAAAAATTTGGCGCTTAGTTGCCATCATTTTTATTGTTAAGGTCAGCTAAATTCTTTACAGTTTATATAGTCCTATTTTTTATTTAATTTTTCACTGTTATATTCTTATTTATTTAATTAATTTTTGTTTAATTGCTCTCTAACAACACATATTTTCATGCGTATTTCCGAGCAAAAACATTTCGTTTAAAAAAACAAGTAAATTTTTAGTAATATATTTGGCCTAATTTTTTCAAGCAACTGTTATTTTCTCAATGTTACGTAATTTTTTGCACGATAACTACATATCTTTACTCAAAAATGTATTTAGTTTACCCAGGGATCTGTTTAGAAGAAATTTGAGTCCGTTAACGGACCCTTTACAAAGTATCTTTTTACGAAAACGGACCCTTCACAAAATAATTTATCTTTTAATCGGACCCTTCACAGATTTGTTTATCTTTTTTATTGTTTTGTTAATCGAATAAACCCTTCCGGGGGGAGGGAAGGAAATACGGTTCGAGACAAACTAAGTTTCCCTAAGTTTAAATTCCAAATGTAGTATTCTGAGAAAATATTTCTACATTTACAAAGATCGCGTTCGCAATCTTATTAATATTACATCATATTTTTTTGTGAATAAATAATTAATCAATTTATATTTTTTCAAAAAAATTTAATTAATAGAATATTATGTAAATAAAAATTAATTTCTGGTAATTTCTTAAATAAAATATTATAAATTTAAGAATTGTTCAAGTTTACTTAATGCGCAACACATTAAAAGTGATACATTACTAAGTTATGTTACCCAAAATATGTCAATTAAAATTAATTAAAATGTGAGTGATTTTGTTTCCATTATTCGTCCGAAATGAATATTCAGTGTTGAGCAGTATAGGCTAAATACCAAATATTTGTATGTTGCATCTCTAATTTAGCAGCAGCAATTGTTGAACAGAATCTTGTATTTATTTACAATTTAAAAACTTGAAAAGATTTTTAGCAATTTTTGCAATAACAGGACCCTATTTGCACAAATTCACAAAAGCAGTACAATGGTTGAAGGAATGTGATTTAACGCTTATTTTATATTCACAAATTACTAATAGTTCTTTCCCAATTTTACAAAAACAAGACCTTTCACAAAATGTCTAGACAGACCCCTGGTTTACCTCAACATCAAAAATTGCAGCAACTATACACCAAAACGTTTTACAGTGTACAAAATAAATCACAATAATTAAACACATATGCAACTACTTTTTGCTCCTATAAGTAAACGCTAGGAGCTTCAAAAATATGAAAAAGAATGTCTCCATCCTAATTGGATGAACAAAGTTCAACAAATAAAAAACTAGGCTTAATCCGTTTCAATAAAGGAAAAGCTTAGATGAATTAAACTTTAAATATACGTGAGAACAAGCTTTGTAAAGTAACCGCGAAGATCTACAAAGAAAGGCCGACATACTTTATTACATTTGCATTTAGAGATCGACAAAGGCTTTGCTGTTCTTAGAAATTTTTCCGTGCGGTTCAAATGCTTTTACGGCTAAATATATTTGACATTCCTCCAATTCTTCAAGCTTTATGGTCATTAATGCAAAGCTTAAACCTAACAGTGTTATAATTTAAGCAGAAACGTAACTTGTTCTAGCTTATAGTCATCCCAAAACGGTGGTTTCGAATATATTGCGTCCTACGTAGCAATCTTCAAACAATTTTGACTTACATCTGACACTTTGAACGGTGAATCGCACTGTTCTATATACTACTCCATATTAAATGTCATCAAGTTTTCACGAAATGAATGGAGGTTGCTTTTTTTTCGACTTTTGCTTTACCTGGAGTGATTTGGTGCTTCCCGTTTTTCATCGCGATGTTTTCACCCATATGTCAATTAGAAATTGTGGGAGCGTGTTCCTCTTCACTATATAGTTTGTCTGTAGAAAAAACTCCCCACGCCACAAAGAATGAGATCACTTTCTGCAACGGAAACCAGAAATAGTGCATTTCAAAGAGGAGAACTTCTATATTTCTTCATTACCTTGCTCTCGTCGACCAGAGCCCAAACCTGTCTAAAATATTGACCATAACTGATGTAGTTAAACCTCGTAATCATAGTCACCATCACTATATACCTTTTTTTACTCCGATTAATCGAATGTTTATTTATATTTGTTTGGCTTTTTCCTAAGAACTTTACCCGACAATCCAGTAAGGCGTAATTTATGGCTGTCACAGGAGAGTTTTTTTTTGGGGGGGGGAGGAGTAATTTATGAACGCTACAATAGTAAGTAGGTAAGCTCATTTCTTTTTCTGGCAACTCCTCAACGTATATGAAAACTTTTTAATCATACAATATTTGATAATATTAAATTTCATGTTTTAATCAACTGATTACTAAATTTAAAAGTCCAAGATGTAAATCTGTATTACTTTTGTATTACTGAGGTATGACTTTTGTATTACTGTATTACTTTTTTACGTTTTGAAAACAAATTACTTATTTTGTGTTACCACAAAATTTAAAGGAAAAGAATTTAAAGGAAAACGTATTTTTTATTTATAAATGCTTTTCATTGAAAGTTTTCAGGACTAGGTATCATTTCTGAATTTATATTTAAGCTCCCCAAACATATAAGGCTTTCAAATATGTGCAAAACTTTATATTATATTTCCTTTTAAAGTTAGTTATCTTTTGCTATAATCTACAAAAGCAGTTATTAAGATATTTTCTTTAATAAAATCAAATAATTCTTAGAAGAAGACTTTAGCGAAACAAAATGTTTGTTAATAGAACAATTTAACTCTAAAAAAAAAAACGTAACTTACCGGTGGTTGGTTATTTGTCGCAGATTCCACAACCATTGATTTCAGTTGAGCCAAGCTATTGTTGATTCTTGCTCTTCGTCTTTTCTCAATCAAAGGCTTGGAGGCCTACACAAAGTAAAAAGAAAAATAAGTCGATATCTAAGACGAATAAAATAAATATAGAAACTTTTATATTAAACAGAAAAGTTACCATTTTACTAGTAGTGCAATTTTATTTGCTACTATAACTTATTTTAAACCACTATGTTTAAGCTACTATTAGTTTTAATTACCGGTAGAAAATAGCAAAAAATTACAATAAAATGGAATAAAAACAAGAATCATCATAACCTTTATATAAATCTTAAGCCGCGATTGCTCAGGGGATAGAGCATTCGCATTCCAATGAGGCGAACCGGGTTCGAATCTCTACCCCATCCGGCTTGCACCGACCACAATGCTAACGTGAAATATCCTCTGTGGTAGACGGATCATGGGTTAGAGTCCCTTCACCGACAGGCTAACCGTAGGAGGTCCTCGTGGTCTTCCTCTCCATGTAACGCAAATGTGGGTTAGCTCCATCAAAAAGTCCTCCACGAAGGCACATTTCTCCCAATACTTGATCCAGGAGTTCCCTCGTCTTCTGGATTGGGTTCAAAATTACAAGGCTTCGGAATTGAACATTAGTAGTCGTAAACCCATAAAATTGGGTCGGCTGTTCACCGACGGTTGTAAAATTATAAAATAAAATCTTAACTTTGACAGATAAGGATGAGTTTTTCTATTCCTTTCAAGGGTAACCATGAAGGTTTTTCCATTTTCCTCTTTTCTTGTACAGCAGATACACACACCTACGGTACTAATACTTTTCTCAAAAGTTGCCTAATTTTCTAAGGTTTACTCTAAATTTAGATAATTGAAGCAGGAGTTATATGAATTGACAGTTCGTCACCGGTAAAACTATCATCGTTTTAAAACTTTTTTAGCTGCGTATAATTTTAAAAGGATTTTATTAATATTAGAAAACAAAGCAAATAGAAGCATGCAATAGAATATCATTCTGAAGCTATAAAATACTAAGCATAAGTAATTCGTTTAGCATAAAAAAAAAAAAAAAATTACAACGCACTTTTTCTATTCATTTTGAAATTTTTAGTTTAGCTCAAATGAAGTGATTGAAATTATAACATTAAAGGTTTAATTGGAATTTATTTTCGACCGTTTACTAAATTTATAAGAACAATTTAACTTGATATAATGTATTCTCTCTATAATATTATGTTATGTATTCATGTATTCGATTTTTTTTTTCTCTGGGCTGCATACCACTAAGATGAATATCCTATAGTAGTAAATTTCCAAAATACTATACCTTGAAATCTTAAAAGTTCATAAAGTAAATAAGTTCATAAAGTAATTGAAAAATAAGTTTCAGTTAATAAAAGATGCAGAACCTATTAAACTTAGACCACTTACTAAAATTACATAATTTTTTTTTTCTTTTAATTAAACACGTTAACTGTTCTTTAACATACGCTTTCTTATGCAAATTGTCTTTTTTATGTGCGACGCATCCAATTTTTAAAATAATTTATAAAATAAAAATTTTATAGAAACTAGGTTTAAATCTTTAGCGTATAAATTTTTTAAAAATAATATTGAACTCACAAATTTAAAGCAGCTTTAAGTTCTTTAAATGCCTAATTTAGCTTAATGCTTAAAAAATCATTTAAATAGCAGAACTCGAAAAATATTTAATCAATGGTGAGGTATGGTGTGACTAGATCTGCCATGACATAGAAATATGATGGAAAAAAGAAAAGTGAGAGACGACCTCAAATTGACATAATGACAAATGTATATGAATGGAAGAAATTTTTCATTGTGATTTTTTTTTACGAGAGAAGAGCATGAACTAGCTTAGGAATAATTTTATATTTCTTTGTATTGTTTAAATTACAACCCACAAACTTTGTTTAGCTGGGTTGGAAATATAAATAAATAGGTGAGCAAATTTATATCATATATTTGTAACAGTTTCTTACACAAAGAAAAAAAATTCTCTTAAAATTTCCATTACTCTATGTTAATGACATTTCTGTTAAAAAAATAAATAAGTCTGGTAATAAAAACCATAATACTCGGAATATAAATCAGTCATTTGGCACTTTTTCCTCTTAAATGGTAACGGTTTACCGGAAATTCTGGTTTTCAAAAATATATTTCTTATTACCACACATTTAGTAAAAAATACAAAGTTGAAAAGTAAATTTAACCTAGTAAATGGGGTTTGTGCCATGCTCTCAAACAAATATTAGGGTAAAATTAACAAATTTTACCAAATTAAAAAAGCTTTATCACAAATCATAAAACCATATTTTATAGTTAATTTCACCAAAATCATTACCAAACGTTTTAGAAAAAATTACCAAGTTTTTGGTGTTCCCATAGATGCAAAAACACAGTAAATTTTTCAATATTCATAGTAGCTTTGACCAAAAGTCTGATGTCGAATACTTCAAGTGCCTACTGCAGAGCTCTGGTCGCAGTGCAGCTCAGACTCTTTAATAGTTAAAAAGATGCCATAAAAATCACTTTTAATTTAATTACGTTCTTTCAATAACTTTTTTTTAAAATTTGAAGTAAAAACAAGTTCGAAATTTTTAAAAAAATAGGTCATAAATAAAAACACTTTTATAAATACAAAATAAAATTTTCGATATGAAAAACAACAAATAGGAGTAAAATTTAACACTAAACAGCAGGTCGATTTTATTTAAATGCAACTTCATTTAAGGAAAATCGACTTCTACCTAACACATGTAAAATAGCCAGTTTTAAGGATACTTTTAAGAAAAACTAAAGGATTCATTTTCAAACCTTTTCTTTGAGTCAACCCTATAACCTCATAAGAGAAAGACTTTTTAAAATTTGGAAATTTTTTAATTTCAGAATTAAAATTTGTAATTTAAAACCCTTTATATCCTAAATCCCCCCTTTTTTTTAAAATAACGTGAATAACTTTAAACGTGAATAAAAAAATTATTTATTGAAAATTAATGAATAAATAAATGAGTTAGTAAAATAAAGCGAGGGGAAAAACGTGTTAAAACATGTACAGTAACACAAAAAAATAAGTGCATTTTGGTAAATCAACGCAGCAGAGAAAAAAATGATCCTTTGAATTGCAAAATGCATAGGAATATTTTTCTTTTCATTTGCAAGATAGTAAAATAAAGATAGCTGATAGTTGAAAGATAGTCTACCTAGAAGGATAGTCACGTGATTGAACCTCAAATCATTTTGCGAATGAATCACAAGTAGGAATTAAATAAATATGGTTTGACAGTTAAGACTTGTAAATTAAAAGAAAAGAAAAAACGAAAATTTAAAATTTTGACACAAATGAAGGGCTAAATTCTATTAAGAATAAAATTTTATAAGTAAGCGAATCATTAGGTCTACACAAATAGCCTTCTGTTAGCATTTCAAAAGTGTTTTTAGGTACAAATAAAGTGATTTCTAAGCATTACAATCTAAACAATTAAATTTAATTTCGAAAACTGAATTTAATGCTAAGACCACATAAAAATATAACTATATTATATAAAAAATTGAGCAACGTTTGAAAATACACAAGTAATTTAATAAATGCACAACAATTGAAACAAAATAGATAAATTATGTACTTCAATTAAACATAGTTTCTGATTATCTTTCAAAAATGCGAAACAACGTCAGAATTAATACACTCCTAATAACTAACTGCTGTATCCAAATATTGAAAACTGGCTAACTCTTGCACTCATGTGTTTTGAAAAAATATGTTTAGTGAACATTCAAACGTTGCCAATTTACAATCTATTTGTCCGAATATTGTCCTACTATGCCACTATCCCTTACTTCAAAAGTTTAAATTTAAAAATTATTCTAAAAAACCCATTTATAATCTGTTTTCCAAAACATGTACTTCAACTTCACTGTGTACTTGAATTTTTTGAACAGCGTTTAGAAACTCTTTGCAGAATAAATTGTTAAAGCAAGATTTAAGGCATTTCAAAATTCGGCAGTAGAATTTAATGTATTTCATAAAAATGATATAAAAAGTTTTTATTGTCTTAGACAACTTAAACGTAAAAGCAATAAAAAATATAATGAAACTGCTAAATCCATCTGCGAAAGAACTTGGCTACTGAAATTAATACCGTAATAACAATTCAATTCTCAGACGAAATAAAGATTAAATAATAGTAACTGAATTCTAAAATTAAATTTATTTTTAAAAATTGTAATCAGCATTCCATTATTATTTATAAAAAACATCATATAATACTTATATAAACAAAAAGTTGATATTAAATTGCAAAATTTTTCTAGTAATCTTTTAGTGGGTTTTTTCTTAACTATACAGACCCGATTAGCAGAAAATGGCTTAGAAGTTTATCATAGTTTTGCCTAATTCAAAACATAATTAAAATTAATGTTAAATATGTTTAACCAGAAATATAAAATTTTTTAATAGGTTTATTTATTAGAAATAGTTGGAACAAAGTAGGCTCTCGAGTGGAGGTTTTTAACCAAATAAATTCAACCGTGCAAAACCAAACATTACTATTTTTTAAAGTGAAACGCTTTCCTTACATTCAAGATATAATTTTAAATTTTTTATTCTATGTATTATGGACTTTTCAATAAATTTTCACTAATAAACGCATTCACCAATCTAATTTGATTTGAAACAAAAATAATTAATTAATCAGAAATAATTACTTAACTAACTACCAATTAATGTTAAACATACCTTTCTATTTTCATTTAATCCCATAGGTGTCGGTTTAGCCGACGGCATGGTCATAATTTCAATTCTACTCCAAAAAAAAGAGTTCAACAAAATGTTCTTTATTCTAAACAACCAATTTGAATCACCCGCTTCTGCTATTCAGAATGATGGGGAGTAGTGCTGAAAAGACTATTCACAGCAACGAATAAAAACATTCGAAAAGGAGAAAGCAACAGGTAGTGAGGAAGGACGACTGGGAAAAAAAGACAACTTCCCACCAAAGCAGAACGGAATGAAATGAAAACGGTAGCTCCGTGGTAAAAGGCCCAATGGACTGGCAGCACGTGATACAGGTTGTTCGCGTGTATTGGTTCCTGTTCTTCAGCACGTGCCGTGGGGGATGAGAAAGGGGGAAGTTTTTTAAAACCACGCCCTCTAAGCGTTAAACTGAAAGGGTAGTTTCATAAAAAGAATTTAAAATGAAATGATATTCTGTTTTTGTTGCCTTTGATCTACAACCTTTTGGTTTGAAAATAAGTGTTAACTGACTTCTGTTTTGTGGTTAGCCTGGCACAATTTTTTTGAACGCGATATTTTTTTATTAATTTTACTGACATGTTTTGAAAAATAAATAAATATTTTTCTTTTAAAAAATGACAAGAATTTTTTTTTTTTTCGATTTATAGTGAAAAGAATATTAGGTTGTTTTTCTGTTTTTGTTGATTTTGACCTGCGACATGCCGATTTAAGGAAAAAAAAAACATGTTAGTTGACTTCGGTTTTATGATCAGTCTGATTTATAACATAATTTTTGTTGTAGTGTGAGAATTTTCTATTCACACTATAAAATGAAATTATTTTGTACTAATATTATTAAAAAAGAGTAATAACATTGGTACAAAATATTAGTAGTTTTTTCACACTGACAAAAACATGAAAGAAATTTTCTGTTTCATTCATAGTGAAAAGAATTTTAGGTTGTTAATCCGTTTTTATTGATTTTGACCTGTGACCTGTTGATTTAAAAAAAAAAAAAAAAAAAAAAAAAAAAATGCTAGTTAAGTTCTGTACTATGATAATTACATAAATTTTGATTCATTACATAATCTTTGCTGTAGTTTTAAAATTTTTGAGTACATGATGAAATAAAATTATTTTGTATTTAAGAAAAGTAAACTGCTTTTTTCACTCTGATAAAAGCATAAAAGAAATTTTTGATTCATTATTAAAAGAATATTAGGTTGGATAATGTTCACTTTTCGTTGATTTTGACCTTCTTTTGTTGATTTGCTTTAAAAAATGTTTACTCACATCTGTCTTGACCGAAGATGCATATTTTAATTAAGTAGAGCAATAAAACTAGTTTGTTTTTTTATCACTCATAGAAAATTTACTTCACTCGATTAAATTTTCTAATATATTTTAAAGAAAATAACTTTTTTTACTACGTTAAACTACACTAAAAAAATTTTTATACTTGAAGGGTTAAGTCACTTATTATTCTGGAATCTCCTAATTTTTCATTTCTTCTCACATTTCGCATTTCTTAATTATTCAAGAATTTATTCTTAGTGAAATACGCAACAATTTTATTTTATATTTTATAACCTAGTTGAACACAATCCGGCACAATTTTGGATTTTTGTCTACCAATGTTCAACTTCGTAGCCTTGTAATTTTGAACACAATCCAGAAAACAAGTATGAGAAGAAAATTTGCCTTCGTGGAAGACTTTTTGAATGGAACTAACCCACATTTGCGTTACATGGCGAGGAAAACCACTGAAACCTCCCATGGTTAGCCTGACGGAAAGGGAATTCTAACTCATGATCCGTCTACCACTGAGGATATTTCACGTCAGCACTGCGGTCGGTGTGATCCGGTTGCGAAACCGGATTATCCGGAATTATCGGAAACCGGATTATCCGGAAGTCGATAACCGGAGTTCGGTTATCGACTGGCCATCGCTGGGATTCAAACCCGAGTCATCTGATTAGGAGGCGAGTGCTGTGTCCCCTGAGCCACCACAGCTCTAGGCGCCAAAATTACAGTCAGTATGATGTTTCTGCGTATTTATCTGTTATCCAGTTAAAATTCCTAAAGCTTGTAAAATATTAACCCCTTCTTTCTCGCTCCCGTGAAAATGACGGGGTGAGATTTCGCCCGCTATTTCTCGCTCCCGTGATATTGACGGGCTGGAATGTTCAGTACTAACGCGCCAATAAGAATAAAACTAATTCATTTCATTTGCCCGGAGAACATTTTATTTCTCATTTTACACACCCGCTGGCAGTACCAGGATATTTTTAAGGTAATAGTAGATAGTTAGTTTATTTTAAACTGGTTGCAGCACTGATCAAATACGTAATACAAATACAAAAGCCAAAAAAATAGGCACTTTTATGACCGTTTTCTTGAAAATTAACCGATCGAGGGGTTAAAGAACTATAGAGCACCGATGCATTTAAATGGAACAATATATTTCTTTTATTATTAATAAAAACTTTTTTAGAAAATTAATTTTAGTATAATATAATATTAATTAAAATATTTTAATATTAGTTAAATATTTTAATATTAATTTTTAAAAAAATTTTTAAAATGCAGAAAACAGCGCAGTAATAAATTAAAAAATAGCTTTTTTATACCTGAAGATTTTGCTGTAGTATAATGATACCTTACATTTTCGAATTGTTAATAATTTTTTTTTTTTTTTTAAGAATTGTGTAGTTAATGAGAAATTTATGTGTATTGTGGTGTTATCAAGTAAAAATTCGAAAGGTTTGGGAAGGCATCGGAAAAAATGCTAAGAAACAGTTGATAAGATGTGAAAATGTCATCATTTTATTTTATTTTATTTTATTTGCTCTTATCACTTATTATCAGTTATTTGAAATGATAACAGTCCCAGATGGCTTATCTGATTTTAAATGCCTTCCATTTTCACATTACCTCTCTCTTTAATTTATCGTTGCCAATGTTATGTATATGTACATTTTGATTACTACTAATGTCATCAACTTTTCCAATTTTGTGTAAATTTTTCATACATTTTAAGTATTAAATATTATATGTCAATTGTGTCAGTTATTTAAAATAAAAAATCGTTTCTAAGCAGTTGAATGCGCACAATTGGCTAAACGGTTCCCAGTAGAACACAGAAGTCAAGCACCACCGGCTATAATCAGCGTGCAGGTGGGTGATCACTTTGATTATGCCTGCAAAGAGACCGAGAGTGTGCTGTATCGTTTCTTGCTAAACTGTACTGTCGTAAAGTGCTCGACTTCGTGCGCAGGTAGCCGGGCTATTGAAGCAAGGGAGCCATCTCCTCTGCAGAGGATCGAAATTGTGATGTCACATCTTCCAATTATCTTTAGGGATGTTTCCCAGACCGTCGCTAATAGCCCATTGTGCAAATCTAGGGTGACGTAAACCGATAACAACAACAACAAATTGATGAAAGTTTAAAGAGTAAATGCTCGTGCTTGCATGCGTTACCTTCAAATTATGTAATACTAATTTTCTATGGAATACCTAGTCATTGTATAGAAAACCTGGTGCCCGTTGAGCAAAGTATTAAATATGAGAATTATTACATATTTCGCTACCACTTGAAAGCTTTTAGTTTTAAATTATTCATTCAGGGATACCTAGGTAATTAAGTTTTTTCATATTTTGTCATTAGTTATTCTGTAGAATATTTGAGCCTTGTATGGAATGTTTAATCATTTCAAACTGAACTAATCGATTTTAGGCATTCTATACAATGATTAGGCATAGAATTCTGAATTTCATAACTTTGATTTGAACATATAGATACATTTTTTAGACAATCAGTATAAGAACTTATTAAATAAATAATCCCAAGAAACTGAAGTGATAAAAGATTACTTTGTTCTTCATTCGATCTATTATTTAAATAATATCTTACAACCACTCCATAGCAGACGAAAATGCATTTAGCCTAGATTTGCTCCTCTCGGCTACTGTAATTTTTCTTATTCTGCATTTTTTTTTAATGGTTTTTTCTCTCTTTGCTACTGTGGTTTTTTTTTTTAGTTTTGTTTCTCATATTTATATTTTCCATTTTTCGTTGGCAACTTTACGTTTTATATTTCAAATCACTCTTGTTTCTTCTCATTCACGCCTGGCAAGTCTTGAAAACCAGCGCCTATTTTTGAGCGATTGAAACATATCGACTATTATTTCCAATTTGCATATTTTGGAGCCGAATGAAGTTTTTTTTTTTTTTTCATTAAGTAATCTAGCACCTTATTAACCATAGTCATTACATTTTTCCCTCCTTCAAAAATCAACATGAAATAAAATTTGTTAAAAAATCATTTGATTCTATTGCTCAAATTATTAACAATAATTTTAACAACGCTAACAGCATATTTTTCAAATTATTATACAATAATCCTGAATAAATAACAATAATTAAAATAAACATATTAAAAGAAATAGGAAGGCATGCAAGGTCGCGTGTAATGTTAACTTCAACAATAGTAACAGGTACAATAAACTGAATGTTTTGCTACAGGTTCATAAAACTCAATATAAACAACAGAGCCTTAAACGCCTGAAGCAGGTGAAATAAAAATCGATAATCGTATACAAATGAAATCAATCTAACGGCCATCAACTACTCTACAAAAAAACACTAAAAATAACATTATTCCTAGCAATCCAATTTTATGTACCCACCTTACTTTCAGCCCTCCCCCCAACATAAAAAAAAGAACCGGTGTTCTCTTTCTTCGACCTTGAAGCTAAAGAATCAGCTCGAATCGCAAGAAAAAAAGCTCCAGCTTGTGGTAATTATTGAAGTTAATGAAGCGCCTGCAAAGAAAGGAGCTTTCTTTAGAGGGGTCTTCCCCCTCTTAGGAAACGGGGGATAAACTTTCTCGGCAGGTGTAAAAGAAGAAAACTTTCTTATAGGAAAATGTGTTAATTATGTTTATCGAGTTTTTATAGAAGTAATAGACGATGCTAAAAGATCACATGATAAAGAACTCTGCTTAGACATTTACTTTTAGCAAAACAAAATCGACAGAATTAGTAAATAAGAACTTATATAACTAGCAGGCGTTGTCGTGTTTTTTTTTTTTTGCGTTAATGGCTTTCATTTTAATCGATTTGAAACTTCGACGACTGATGCCAAAATCAAAATTTTTACAAGAAATATGTCAATTATGTTAAGTGATTTTTTATGAGTGTAAACTTGGTTATTGCTGATTTCTAATTACGATAAAAATAACAGGTGCAGAAGACGAAAATCTTCTGATAGGAAAATGTGTTAATCATGTTTATCTAGTATTTATAAAATTA